TTTTTTGAGACAGAGTTTCACTTTATCACCCAGGCTGGAGTGCAGTGGTGTAATCTTGGCTCACTGCAACCTCTGCTTCTTGGGTTCAAGTGATTCTCCTGCCTCAGCCTCCCAACTAGCTGAGACTACAGGTGTGCGCCACCATGCTCAGCTAATTTTTATATTTTTAGTAGAGACAGGGTTTCACCATGTTGGCCAGGCTAGTCTTGAACTCCTGACCTCAGGTAATTTGACAGCTTCAGCCTCCCAAAGTGCTGAGATTACAGGTGTGAGCTGCCATGCCCAGCCTTAATAGGAAATCTTGATAAGTCAGAAACACTACCTTTGTAGTAACATGGAATCCTCAACTCAATGCACCTCTCCCCAAAGATAGTAATAATATATATATTCACACAAAAATTATGCAAGTAACTTTGAAAGAGTCAGTGATACTCCCCAAATATGAATCTAAATAATATTAGGATTACACCAGAACGGTAAATGCTCAAAATGGCTCAGAGGATCCTAATACATTTTACCCCATAATCACAACAACCTGTCAAATCATACAGTGAAGCTGGTCAGTGCTAAAGTCAGCTGATAGGGCAAAACTTGCAATCGATTAAAGAATTTTCCTTGAAAACTCTTTAATCACCCCTAAAGTACAGGTTACACTCATTCTTAAGCAAAATGCTCTCACTACGGGAGGCAAGAAACTTCAAGTGACTGAAGAACCACAAGAGTCACCGATCTTATGCTCATTCTAGGGTGTATGTTCATTTAAAGGAATTACACACTCCACTGCATCATTTAAATCAATCTTTTTCTCAATGTTGGGTGTGTGTGTATGGAAGTGTGCACACGCACACTGTTAAATTTGAGGAAATTAATGCATGAGTTAACTGAACTGAACCAACATATAAGACATCATGGACAGATCAATCACAGTTCATATCCTGGAAACTCTTCTGGTCAAAAATCCCATCATTATGACAACTGCTGAGTGTTAAGAAGAAAAAAAGATATTTCAAATCCATTCACTAGGCCACAGACTGCTGATAGGGAGTCAGGAACAGGAGTGAGTGTAGCAAGAGACTAGAGAGAAACTCAGGATTGGACACCAAATGTGAGAGGGTCATTCACCGTGAAGTACTCAGTGAAAGCAATTCCCCAGAGGCAGTGTTATAGTGTGGGACCGAATATCATCTGGGACCTACATAAGAGCTGTCCTCATAAGCAGGAATAAGAGCAGAGAGGAAGAATCACTTTCTTGTGTGGCTGGTGTTTCTGATGCATTAGGAAAAACTAATCTGATCTTCCCTAAGCTAGAGAATCCTGACCTTCTTTACTCCAAAATCACAACAAACCATACAACTTTTGAGGTTGAACTATCCCCAGTGATCACAATACTTAAGGACAATGGCTACAAACTGGCACTTTCTGAGCTAAATCCAGTGACAGACATTTTTGTTTGGCCCCCTGCAACTTTTTTTTTAATCTAATTTAATTGCTCACATTTAAAAGTCAAAAGATTTTAAATAAAAATCCTGATTTTAAACTTCTCTTGAAAATCAGAATTATCTCACAACCCTAAAATTGCACTCCAAAACTGAAGCAAGAACAGTCAAGTAATGACTTCTCAATATGGTTTTGTTCTCGTTTTTAATTTTGTAGAGACTAGCTCTCACCACGCTTCCCAGGCTGGTCTACAACTCCTGGGCTCAAGCAATCCTCCCGCCTTGGCCTCCCAAAGTGCTAGGATTACAGGCATGAGCCACCCCGCCCAGCCTTGACTTCTCACTTTGAACACGGCTTATGCCTTCAGCTTCACCACTGATTTCACCCAGACAATATTACTCCTTTCATTCACCTGCCTGACCCTTCTAGGCAACTAACTCTCACTTTATGAGGAAGAAGATGAGAAACCAGAGACTCATAGCTCAATTTTAATCATTCCCTCATCCCTCAAGCTACAGAACTAGCTGGCTGTAGCACCAAGAACCACGAAGAACTCAAATCCCTTAAAGGCTTGAAGACCAGACTTCTCCTTCAATAGGAATCCAGAGATGGGAGAGGCCAATCTCTACTTCACCCAATTCTGCCACACCTTCAAACACGTATAGGAAAGGAAAATGAGTGCCCTAAATCCAACAGAAAACTACGATTTGGGAGTTTACCTCTCTTCCCCTCCTCGCTGCTGTATATCCTGCAGTTTCTCAACAAACTCATGAAATTTCATTTCTTCCCTGTTGGACCTCGGCTTAAAGTTCTGGAAATTAGCCATCTTCTTCTCATCATAGTACAAGAACTTGTGGGTGCTGGCACTGTACACAGAGAAGTCTCCATTGCCAATATTCTCTTGCAGGTATTCAAGATCCCATTTCAAGGCAGGATACACAAGATTGGTGTCGGTCAGCACCACAGGCTCCTAAATGAAAACACGAGGTGAAAAACACCAAATGAAGTAATGCCAAGGAGCCGGTGTGTTCGCCTCCTAGACCCCATCTACTTCTCAACTTCAGAATAGTTTATCCCGTTAATTAGCACGAACCCCTCAAGTTCCATATCTCCTCGCCTTTCTTTCCACCTTCCCACAGGCCCTAGTCTAGAGCCCCTCCAGTCTCCCATCTCTTTCACCATTCGCCTCTGACTTCTCAACTGGATACCTTCCTCAACTCCCTTTAGACACGACCCCGCCCCCCACCTCATTCTCAATAAGCTCCTCGGCCCGGGGGTCGCTCTGACTCAGACGTGGTATGGGCCTAGTCGGGAAGCTATAACTGCGCAACTGGGATTCATCCCAGGCGGGGCCGAGGGCTCCGGCCTCCTCCCGGGGCTCTCCAGAGCCAGACGCCACGGCCTCCGCCGCTGTCGCCGCCATCTCCGCCGCCAGGGACGGCCCCCACCGGAACCGGAAGCCCCGCCTATTCCGGACAAAACACACACACACACACACACACACACACACACACACACGCACACACACACACAACTGAAATCATAGAGATGAGCTGCGAGAGAGAGCGGTCCAGAAACACAAAGAACGCGTAGCCGAGGCCTTGAGGGAGCGCTTCCTAATGGTAACATGCAGCTCTGCATCCTAGGCTCCACTCCCGAGCAAATGGGGCTAGACACTCGTCCCACAGAATAGGGATGATCATCTGGTAGAGCAAAACACAAAAAAACGCTGCCCCAGTGTGCCCACGTCTACACACGAGTCAAAGAAGGAAGCAAGTTCAGTTAGGCGTTAAACTTTACACTCGTGAATAGGGAAAAAGCAAACTCTTGACCCACCTAAAGAAGTCAGAAGGATGCGTTCGGATCAAAGAAAAAAAAAAAGAAGTCAGAAGGAAAAGCAATGATCACATTGGTAGATGTAGGGCAAAGGCTGCCTGAAGGCCTAGGCAAAAGATATACAGCAAGTTGAATTCTTCCAAAATCAAGGACAGTTTTCTTTTGTTTAGCATCATTTGATTTTTCTGCCTATATCACCAATGTAGATTAAAACAATTATAAAAGGCCATATTGATTACCTCTATTGGTAACATTGGTTTCATGGCAAGCATATATTCAAGTAGGAGAAATGATTATATAGGCAGAAAAATCAAATTGATTTTACAATCAATATAGATTGTTTATATCTGTATTGATTATAAAAGGCCCTATTAATTACCTCTTGCTTACTTGGACAGTTCTTCTGACTGGCTGTGAGAGGCCCAATTCTAAGATGTATCCCAAGATTTGTACCCTATGGTGCACACAATTTTGTATACATTTATCCCCTTAAAAGAAAACACGACTGCGAATATGATAGAGTGTCTCTCCTGTAATTAGGTTAGCTTACATGACAAAGATGTAATTATAGCCCCTAACCAATTAACTTTAAGGTAATCAAAAAGGAGATGATTTATCCTGGTGGGCTTAATCTTATCACTCTAGCCCTTTAAATCGGGGCTAGAGGTCAGAGACAGAATCTAAGAGATTTGAAACCACAGCACAGCTGTCCCATTTGCCTTGAAGGAGCAAACTGCCATATGGCAGGAAATGGCAGGTGGACTCTAGGAGCTGAGAAAGGCTCATGGGTGACAGCCAACAAGAAAGTGGGCACCTTAATCCTACAAATGCAAGTAACTGAATTCTGGCAACAACCACTGAACTTGGGAAAGGACACACACAGATCCTCAGATGAGATCACCAACCCAGCCAACACTTTGATGTCAGCCTGAAAAGACCCTGAGCTGAGGACTCAGCCAACCAGTACCTGGACTCATGGAATATGTGAGAAAATAAATTGGTATTTTGGGCTGCAAAATTTATAGTAATTTGTTGTGCTGCAACAGAAACGAATGCACTGGCTTAACTATGTAATTATGCTACATAGTAACCATGCTACATCAAACCAATAATAGGGCTACCTCTGTGGAAGGGTTTGAGGCTCTAGGTGACAATCAAGGCTTTCATTTTGTCTGCAGTGTTTGAATTTTTTTTTTTTTTTGATAGAGTCTTATTCTGTCACCCAGGCTGGAGTGCAGTGGTGCAATCTCAGTTCACTGCAACTTCCACCTTCCCAGCTCAAGCAATCCACCTACCACAGCCTCCCAAGTAGCTGGGACTACAGGCACATGCCACCTGGCTAATTTTTTTTTTTTTTTTTTTCTGTAGAGACAGGGTTTCACCATGTTGCCCAGGCTGAATGTTTGAATTTTTACAAGAATGTATTGATTCATAACCTTGGGAATTAAAAATAAATTAGGCCAGGCATTGTGGCTCATGCCTGTAATCCCAGGACTTTTTGAGGCTGAGGCAGGAGGATCACTTGAGCCTGGGTGTTCCAGACCAGCCTGGGCAATGTAGCAAGACCTCGTCTCTACAAAAATTTTTTAAAATTAGCCTGGTGTGGTGGTGCATGCCTGTAGTCCCAGCTACTAGGGAGGCTGAGGTGGGAAAGGTGGGAGGATTGTTTAAGCCTGGGAGGTGGAGGCTGCAGTGAGCCATGATCATGCCACTGCACTCCAGCCTGGATGACACAGCAAGACGCTGTCTTACTAAAAATTAAAAAAAAATTAAGATCAAGAAGATTCAAAGAACTAAAATCAAGAATGAAACAGGGATATTACCCCAAACAAAAGGCGTATAAGGACATATTATGAACAATTGTATGTCAAAAAATTAGAGAACCTAGATGAAATGGCCAAATTCCTAGAAAGGCACGAGTTATAATAGCTGATTCAAGAAGAAATAGAAAATCTGAATAGACCTGTAACAAGAGATTGAATTAGGAATCAAAAACATCCCATGAAGAAAAGCCCAGAATTGGGCACAGTGGCTTACTCCCAACACTTTGGGAGGCTGAGGTGAGCAAATCACTTGAGCCCAGAAGGTTGCAACCACATTGGGCAGCATGGCGAAACTCAGTCTCTACCAAATCCCACCAGCCAAAAACAAAAACAAAAACAAAAACTAGCAGATATGGTGGCACGCCTGCATATTCGGGAAGCTGAAGTGGGAGGGTCACTTGAGCCCAGCGGTAGAGGTTGCAGCCCACCGTGATCATACCACTGCACTCTAGCGATTTGAGACAGAGTTAGGCCTTGTCTCAAAAGAAAAGAAAAGGCCAGGCACAGTGGCTTATACCTGTAATCCCAGCACTTTGGGAGGCCGAGGTGGGCAAATCACTTGAGGTCAGAAGTTCAAGACCAGCCTGGCCAACATGGTGAAACCCCCATCGCTACCAAAAATACAAAAATTAGCCAGGCATGGTGGTGCACGTCTGTAGTCCCGGCTACTCTGAAGGCTGAGGCAGGAGACTTGCTTGAACCCAGGAGGTGGAAGCCACAGTGAGTTGAGATCATGCCACTGCACTGCAGCCTGGGCAACAGAGCAAGACTTCGTCTCAAAAGAAAAAGAAAAAGAAAAGCTCAAGACCAGATGGATTCACTGATGTTCACCAAACATCTTTTAAAAATTAACACTGGGCCGGGCATGCTGCTCACACCTGTAATCCCAGCACTTTGGGAGGCTAAGGTGGGTGGATTCCTTGAGGTCAGGAGTTCAACCAATATGGTGAAACCCCATCTCTACTAAAAATACAAAATTAACTGGGCGTGGTGGCGCATGCCTGTATTCCCAGCTACTTGGGAGGCTGGGGCAGGAGAATCACTTGAACCTGGGAGGCGGAGGTTGCAGTGACGTGAGATCATGCTATTGCACTCTAGCCCGGGCAACAAGAGCAAAACACTGTCCCAAAAAAAAAAAAAAAAAAATTAACACCAATCCTTCATAAACTCTTTCAAAAAACAGAACATGTCTGAATTCATTCTATGAGGCTAGCATTATTGTGATATCAAAACAAGACAAAGACATCACAAGAAAACTATAAACCAGTATTTCTTATGAATATAGATGCAAAAATCCTAACAGAACACTAGCAAACTGAGTCTAACATCATATACAAATAATTAAATACCATGATCAAGTGGATTTATTCCAGGAATGCAAGGTCAGTTCAACATCTAAAAATGATCAATATAACACACATTGTAGTGATCAATATTTTATTGATCATTTATAATCAACATAATACAATATATAAGTAAAAGAAAAAAAAACCCTACATGATCATCTCAACAGACACAGAAAAAGCTTTTGACAAACTCCAACATCCTTTCATGATAAACACAGGGTTCCAAATGACACTGGAAGAAAGTAAGAAAAACCTACAGAGTCAGAGAAAATATTTACAATTGTGTACCTGATCAGGAAATTGTATCTAGAATACATAAAAAACTCTTTCAAGTCAACAATAAAAAGACAAACCAATTTAAAAATGAACAAACGGTTTGAACAGACATTCCTCCAAAGAAGATATACCACGGCCAATAAGCACATGGAAAGATGCTCAACATTATTAGTCATCAGGGTACTGCAAATGAAAACTGCAATGAAGTACCATTCACTGGCACTTACATGGCAATAATAAAAAAAGACAATAACAGGTGTTGATAAAGATGTGGAGAAACTGGAACCCTCACACACTGCTAGTGGGGATGGAACATGTCACAGCTGCTTTGAAAAACAATTTGGCAGTTCTTCAGAAAGTTAAACCATAGAGTTACCCTGTGACCCAGCAATTCTACTCCTAGGCATATAACCAAAAGGATAGAAAACGTATATCCAGACAAAAACGTATACAAAAATGTTCATAGCAGCATTATTCGCAATATCCAAAAAAGCAAAACCAACTCAAATGTCCATTAACTGATAAGTGTATAAATAAAATGCTGTACTGTACATTCATATAATGAAATATTACACACCCAAAAAAGGAATGACATACTGATATGTGCTACAACACAGACAAACTGAAAACATAATCCTAAGTGAAAGAAAATGGACACAGAAGGCCACATATTACATGATCCATTTATATTAACTACCCTGAATAGGCAAATCCATTGAAACAAAGTAAATTAGTGGTTGCCAGCAGGTAGAAGTAGGGGTAATGTGCTAATGTGTATGGGTTTTTTTGGGAAGCAATAAAAATGTTTTAGAATTAGATAGTGATGATGATCGCACAACTTTGTAAATGTACTAAAAATTACTTTATTGTACACTTTAAAAGGGTGATTTTTTTTTTTTTTTTTTTGAGACAGAGTCTTGCTCTGTTGCCCAGGCTGGAGTACAGTGGCGTGATCTCAGCTCATTGCAACCTCTGTCTCCTGTGTTCAGGTGATTCTCCTACCTCAGCCTCCCGAGTAGCTGGGATTACAAGCATGTACTACCATGCCCAGCTAATTTTTTTTTTTTTTTTTAAGATAGGGTTTCACCATGTTGGTCAGGCTAGTCTTGAACTCCTGACCTCAGGTGATCCACCCGTCTTGGCCTCCAAAGTGTTTGGATTACAGGCGTGAGCCACCACACCTGGCCGCCCAGCTAATTTTTGTATTTTTTAGTAGAGATGTTGTTTGGCTGTGTTGGCCAGGCTGGTCTTGAGCTTTTGGCTGCAAGTGATCTTCCCGCCTCAGCCTCCCAAAGTGGTGGGACTACAGGCATGAGCCACCATGCCCGGCCTAAAAGGGTCAATTTATGGCATGTGAATAAGATCTCAATAAAAATAAATTAGATCAACTCTGTTTCTTGACCGTAATTAGATCAGGGTTTGCTATTGGTTGAATGTAGATGTTGTCCAATTATTCTGAACATCAACTAGTGATACTCATTTACAAGACAGCAAGTTGTTGTATAGTCCTCCCAAAAATTTACATATTAAGTAGTATATATCCGTATTTATTTACTTTTTATTTTTATAACTTTAAAAAAAAAGAGACGAAGTCTCACTATATCTCCCAGGCTGGTCTCAAACTCCTGGTCTCAAGTCATTCTCCAACCTAGGTCTCCCAAAGCGTTAGGATTATAGGGGTGAGCCACAACTCCCTGCTTATATCCATCTTTATTGCCCTGATATATACTTGAGAAATGTTTATAATAGGTTCTGCTCCCAAACTGTGGTCACCTGAAAAGTCACTGGAAATACATGCATATTTATAATGTGTAAGTTATTCAAATCCCAAGTGAAAACATTCATAGGCAAACATAATGTCTCCAATTCTTCTGGTGAGTTAGAGTTTGTTCATTATGGGCCGCTTTGAAATTTGTTTTATTCAAGTCCTACCAACTCTGGGACTTTAAGCTGTCTCTGGGGAGCTGCCTCTTGTGATAGGCTTAATTTTACATTTGTTGGGTTGAGGTGACTGAGACATGCAGATGGAAACACGGACTGAAACTAAGGAGCCGCCAATTCAGGGCCGATGTGTGAGTTGCACTAGCGTCTAAGTGAAGATCAACCGATTTGGAAAACAGAACAAGCAAGACCAATGGAATTTGAGGAATGATCACGTTTGGGGATGGAAGGAAGTGCCCGTGAAGGAGAGGAAAGCAAGCAGCCAGAGAAGAGAGTAAGACAGGCTCATTTCACTAGTGCAGCTCCTGGGGGAGGTGGTTGAGCTGTCAACCTGAGTTGCTGAGGTTCTGAGTTCCCATCATCCCTGGGATATCAGCTCGGGGAGAAAAAGGACACAACATTCTGAAATGTAAACGAGACCTGCCTGGTTTCCTCTTCTTCCCGCTTATCCCTGCCAGCCTCTATCCAACCCCTGGCTTCCCAGCTCCGTATTTAGACCCCGCCCCCGTTGAACCCTTCGACATTTCTTCACTCCCGGCTTCCTCCGTCCGGTTTGGCCCGGCTCAGCCGCCGTGACGGGCCTTTGCGCATGTGCAGAAGGAAACCGTGAAGAAGGTGAAGATGGCGGTGGCCAAGGCCGGGGTCCAGGGAGTCCGGTGGCTCCAAAGGGCATTCCTGAACGTGGTGCCGCTGGGCGCACGGAGAGGTGCGCGAGAACTGGCGAGGCCTCAGTGTGGGAAGTGGATGCCTGAGGTTTGGTGTATCGGGAGGGGGGATTGTGCATGCCGCGGCGGCAGCGTCCGGGTAGGGAGCGGAGGTGGCGTTGATATATCCGGAAAATGGGTGGAGGGTCGCGCTGATCCTGCGAAATCCCGGGCTCGGATCTCTGCAGCCCCTGCGACTTGAAATCTTAGGAGCGGCTGGAGAGCGGGGACGCTTCTGACTTGTTCTCTTCTGCCCTTTAGCCTTCCACCTTAAGAAAGACCAGCTCCCGGGGCCCTATCCTAAGACCCCAGAAGAACGGGCGGCCGCCGCCAAGAAGTATAATATGCGTGTGGAAGACTACGAACCTTACCCGGATGATGGCATGGGGTGAGACAGAGGGTCTGCTCGCACCCAAGTAGTGATGGCTGGGTTGGATGGCTTGACTGTGACCCTTTCTCCCGAACCTTCTCATGACTCCTCGAGAGTCAATGGAGTGGGTGCTTTTCTCTGTGGAGGGAGGTGGGAGGGGGTGGGTGAGCAGCTGCAGCTGAGAGGACTTCAATTTTCTCCTTGGCTCAGGCTGTTTTCTCAAATGAAGAAGCCGAGGTTTTAATGGCTCCCTCGAGGACCCCCGAATAGCAGGAACCTTCCTTGGCTCTATACAGAGCGTCGAGTTTCATTTAGACTGAGCATCTGCTGGGCTCAGGTGCTGTCATCCAGGCATGTGACCAGGTTGAAGCTGGACTCCTGTCATGAGAACCTTATTTGTAAACGGAGTACTCTATATTTGCGTGTCCCCCCATCCTTTTTTTCTTTTAGACGGAGTCTTGCTCTGTTGCCTAGGGTGTAGTGCAGTGGTGTGATTTCAGCTCACCGCAACCTCCGCCTCGCGGGTTCAAGCGATTCTTCTGAGTAGCTAGGATTCCTGGCGTGCGCCACCACGCCCGGCTAATTTTTGTGTTTTTAGTAGAGACGGGGTGTCACCATGTTGGGCAGGCTGATCTCGAACGCCTGAGCTTGTGATCTGCCCGCCTCAGCCTCCGCAAAGGGCTGAGATTACAGGCGTGAGCCACGGCGACTAGCTGTGTGTCTCTTTAAAAAAACATTCTCTTAGGGCTGTGGATATCGTAGCAACTATTAAGCAGATTAAACAGCCAGCCCCCTTACTCCAGTTGATGTTATCCTATCCCTTCCACCCTCTTCCGTATCCGTACCCACATAATATCCCAATGGTTAATTATCTGAAGTGATTATCATCACCTTCATTTCCTGTCCTAACATCACTCTTTGAATTTTGGTTTCAGCAGTTTCTATGCGTCTTGTTATACAATCATTTTGTGACACATGTCTAGTTGTCATCATTTCCTGTTTTTTATTATGTTGTGGATAAGAACAGCCTTGTTCAAAGTCAGTGTCAGACAAACCTGGATTTGTTGGGGAAAACCCAGCTTAGCAAGGGTCCCATGAGGTGTTTGAGACATGGAGATGAATGCCAACTGGGTGGTCAACAAACACGGTTACTATGAGAAGAATGCTTTTCCAATCTGTTCCCTTTTTGTTTTTAATTCCAATTAGCTGGGTGACTTTGATTCAGACCCTAAACTTTTAATTTTTCATTTTCTTTTTTTTTTTTTTTTTTTTTTTTTAGTGGGATTAATAACTTTTTTACCCAAAGTCGTGCAAATAGTTAGAATTAAAAACCACCCCAACCCCCCCCCTCGGGGGTTTCTTCTCATAGTAACCGTGTTTGTTGACCACCCAGTTGGCATTCAT